ACTTCATCTTTATAGAGAACTAAATAGTATGGACTTTGTTAATGTTAATCCCCAACCCTCACTGTGTGATGAACTGTAAGCTTTGTGTTTCTACCATCTTTGCCCAGGGAAGTTATGGATTTGAATTGTTTATGTAAAAGAATAACAGAATTTTACTTAGCCCTATATCAAGTAGTACTGGCTGTTTTATAGAGTGCTTAAGTGGATTGATTCTCCTACCTCAATTGTTAATTTCTTGGAGAGGATTCTCCACCCCAATTAACTAACCATCAATTTCATACCAACATGCTCAGGGCCACTAGTTGAAACTTATTTATATACTGCACATGAATAGGCTATGAGTAAATTTGAGTCTTTGACCCTTCAAAGTCCTTGGGCCAGTAATTGGAAGCTAACCCCTAGAGACTTGATATATTTGACATTTCAATGTTCCTCATATCTATGGAAGGTAGATTTTACAAACCTATGGTAGGATCCTTGCTGCCTTATCCTGATTAATTTATTTGTTAAATCAATAATGCAAAAGAGATAGTATGGCCCGTCTTCGCTGTCTTTCTCTTCTTCATGGTAAAAGGAAATGAACAAGTACATGGACGTCTACATGTCTATCTTAATTCTAAGATTTCAACTTTGTTATTGCAGTTTTCCTTTTCTACCATTTAAACAAAGGATAATTGTTACTGCGGTCCCTCTTACATTGAAAGTGTTCGACAGGGAAATTTACCACTGTCCCTATTGTAACCTGTGCCGAGTTGGAAAGGGCTTGGGTCTAGACTACTTTCATTGTATGAATTGCAATGCTTGTATGGCTCGTTCCCTTACAGTACATATATGCAGAGAGAAATCATTAGAGGACAACTGCCCAATTTGTCATGAATACATCTTTACGTCCTGCTCTCCAGTAAAGGCCCTTCCATGTGGTCATGTCATGCATTCAACATGTTTCAAGGTATTTTCTAGTGATTCTTTCTCCTTTCAGAGCAGCATATATACAGATAACTTGAGCACTGTTCTTGATTTTGCTTTCAGGAGTATACCTACTTCAATTATACCTGTCCAATATGTTACAAGTCACTTGGAGACATGCAGGTCAGTTGTTATTCAATGTTGATACTTCTTATGCATCCTGCATCTTGTGTCTTTTTATGGTTCGTACTTCATATTGTTGGGCAACACTTAGCATAGAATTTTGATCTGATCGTGCATTGAATTGGTACGCACTCCAGTCCTATGATAACAATTGTTTTCTGGTATGGTAGTATATGGAAGATTCCCAAAAACTTATTATTTTTTACTTTGGAATTACTGCATATAGATTCACCATCAATGCAACTATGAAGATAAAAAATATTTGCAGAACTTTGATAGAATTCTGAAGGGCCAATGCTCATATTTATTTTTATATATCAGACTGTTGATCAACTTATAAGTGGAATAGACAGAAGATGCTTCACATGCTTCTCGGATCCTTTCCAACTTTGGTTAGAGTTGTGTATGTCTTTAAGGGTATTGATTAGATCTAAAAAGTTATTTTAAACACTCTTCTTTTTGGACTTGAATCTTACTGTGTCTATTTAAATACGAATAAAGAGAATGTCTAAATGAAAAAACTTCCTTCTCTCCCATTCTCTTCAATCTAAACATGCTCAGGGATATTGAGGCTGTTAGATTGGAGAACCTCTTGTTACTTTCCTATATATTGCTTGTACCAATTTTTTCTTGTTCCTATCTCTCTCTCATTTTGTAGCTCTTCAAGATTCAGTTCGCCTGTTTCTACTAGATGAACTGCCCAATTTGGAATTTCTTTTTGTTATAATTAACTCAGTAGATCTTCTTGGAGGCGATGAGCTACCTAAAGCCATTAGAATGCCTTCGCAGGTATATTTTAGGATGTTAGACGCGTACTTGGCTGAAGAAAAAATCCCAGACGAGCATTTGGGTAAAACTCAGGTTTGTGATTCTGCTCTTTTTTTTTTTTTTTGGTAACTGTGAATCTACTATTATTCATACTTGTCAATTGTCGTATATAAAGCTTGAATATTGTATGAGACTGTGACTTTCCCAAAATGTACCCCCCCCTGCAAGAGCTGCAGATGATTCTATGCAATGACTGTGAAAAGAAAGGAACAGTTCCCTTCCACTGGCTTTACCACAAATGTTCTTCTTGCGGCTCCTACAACACCAGAGTTCTATGACTCTTCCGTTAGGAGGATTAATTGCTTCTCTCCAGCTCCTTTACATTGAATATCAGACTCTACGTAGGATGCAATGTTTGTCTCTATGGTTTGTGCCAAATAATTAGTTTTTTTTTTTTTGGTAAGAATAACTATCCTGTTGCCTTTGAACTAGATTAATGTTCTACTCTTCCGCTGCAAACTGTTATGAACAGTGGTGCATCATCAGTCTGAAAAAACCAAGAAGTTCTAGGATGAACCATCTTCTGCTATTAGATATTTAATTTATTATATGCTCTGTTCCCGTAATCTGATGGCCATTCACGTACATTAGACTCTGAAAATTATACACTCGCAAGAGTTTCAGACAGTTTTGCATATTTATCTCAACCAAACTAATGCCAAGAAGAATGAGAAGTTAACAGAAATTATGCTGAGCTAGGGTTATATTAACAGGCCAAAAGTTCATTAATGAACCGTCAATTGTGACATAATTGACTGAGCTTGAGTGTTGACCAAGTGACATGAGAGCGTGTGGATGTTAATCGTGCATTGAAATTCATGAATCCATCCAATTGATTATAATCAAGTGGAGGGTATTCTTCTCTATTCAAAATGTCAACAAGCAAGGGGACTGCTTAATTAACAGTGGAAAACCTACCAAGAAAAATGAAATCCGGAAGGAAAGGGAGAAAGAGAGCTTAAAAGGGGGTTGGTTAAATTCATCCTCTGATCACTTAATCTCAATGCACTTTCTTGATCTTTCAGTCAATATTCAGAAGAACCGCAGGCACATTTACACGTTGATCACACTCAGATCCCTGCTTGACAACCATGTAAGAAACAAAATGTACCTTTCCTCATAAGCCGCCTCCTTAGAATAATTATAAGATTGCCTAACATGGATTGCATCAAAAAAGTGGACACATCTCATCGTAGTATTCTCCGACAACTTTTTGTTGCATGTCCAGCGGCTGCGAGTCACCTAGCTGCAACGAAGACTGCATGGCCATGGCCATGGAATCTCCATCATCATCTTGGCAGGCATGCTGGACTAACAAGTGATTTGGTGTGACAACATGATCCTTGGATTCCACGTCCATAGAGTTGTAACCCACACTATTGCTGTTGCAGTAAGAATGTTGGTCGGAAACTGCCGGCAAAGCAGCTTCCGAGGAATTATATGTATCTGGGTTTAACGGAGGGGTATGGTTGAGGAGTTGTAGTGCATAATTATTACGGGGTGTCATCCCCAACTCTAACAGAGAAGTGACATCATCAACCATTGAAGAAGAAGAACCTTGGTGCTGATAATGCAGGAAATGTTGTCTGTAAATCTCAAGTTGCTGATGAACAACACGAAGCTCTTCTTCGACGTACCATATCTGGTAGCGAAGCCTGCAAATCTCCTCCCAACAACCATGAACGGGGTATTTATCTCTGTAATTAGCTTGGCAGATAATGGAATCCATGGCAACTTTCTTCTGGCTGGGATCCAAGTTCTTGAGTATCTTCTCGATGTTGCTGACTCCAAATAACTTGTGGACATTCTGAAACGCCTTGGGTTGGTCGGCGGGGAAGTAAGGAGCAAGAACGCATTCTGGGGTACACTTTCTTCTCTGAAATTTGCAAGCAGCACAGGCCTGCTTGGTGCCACCCTTGAGGGTCATATTGTATCACAAGGAAGTCAAATATGGTGAAACGGCGGTGTGTGATGATGAGGAGCTGAGATTCGGCGACGATGGAGGCGAGAAGCAATGCGTGGAGAGATATTGATGAGTGGAAGAAAGTGAGGGAGAGGGAAGTGGGGGGCATTTTGATCACGAGTGCCTGTGGTGGGAGTGGAGAGACTGAGTCAAACTGGGGATTGTTGGGGAAAGAGGCGATTTGCTCGGATATGGGTGTGAGTGTGAGAACCGTTGTGAATGTGGAGACTCCTCGTTCCGACTTTTCGGGGCTACCTTGTGCTCATTCGTGACTAGTTTTTTTTTTTTTTTTTTAATGAAAAATTGTCACCACCTTCGTGCGTGCGCCTTAATTTAATTTAGGGGGTAAGCCGTTTGTATCCGGACCAATGTTGATAGAAGCGGATCGATGGATCAAATAGATTTTGCTCAAGACTAACCTTTTGTCCTTTTTTATTAAAAAAAAAAAAAAAAAGAAAAGTACTTGTCTCCATCTAACGTCACTGTCTACAGTCGACAAAGATTTTATACCAACCTGATCTGTTTTATTAATATCTTTGAATCAGGATGCAAAGCAATCAATTTGTTATCAATGGAGAGCGATCTCTCACTTTGATTATATATTAATTATTAATTTTAATTTTATTTAATATAAAACTTCTCATATAAACTCAATTACCCTCACACTTTAATAATCCAACCCAATTAATTTGTAAATTCTCTCAAATAAATTATATTCTCTCTATCTCAAATTATAAAATACTTTTAAATAAAATTTTACATATCAATAAACATGATTAAATACACTTAACAACTTTATTTTTTTAAAATAAAAATATAAATTTTTAAAAATATTCAGTATTTAATTTATTGAAAATAAAAGTGATAAAAATTAATTATAAAAAAATAATATTAAAATTGATGTATTTAATAAAACCTTAACCTATTTAGAGTTTTATATTTTAAGACAAAAAAACCTTCAAAAATACCCTGTAAGGAGTATTATTCACAACTTATCAATAAAAAAAGTTCATATATTTTATTATATATACAATGATATTAATTATGTCTGCCTCTTCGTGTAGGTTTGCAAGTGAGAAGAATTATCTCAGGCCCGTTGACAGAATGGGAGAATGGAATATTATCATGTACAGATTTTTGTATTTTCGTTATTTATTTTTTTATTGAAACGTCACAAATATACAATTGATAGAATAATAAAGCTAATAAAAGTCAGCTTACGCTGAATACAAATCCACCCCCCTAGGGGAAAAAAATGCAATCTGAACGAGGAAGCGAGTGTTCAGTACACAGCTGCACAAACAAAACGCAGCAAATAACAACTTCCCTTGCAGATATCAAAATTCATGAAAAGGATAAGAACTAATCAAATAGAAGAAAGATCAGGAAGCCACACTCTTTTCAGCCATAACTGCAACAAGATGACATTTCCCAAAAAAAATGAAATTGTCTGTAAGCTATACAGATCCTCTCTAAAATCACTTTGGTTTGTTTGTGGGGAGGAGGTAGGGAGGGCAAGGGAAAAATCTCAAACATAATCTCCTCTCCTCCAACTAATATGTATATATTTCTTATAACCCCTCCGACAAAATAATTCCCGACAACAATAGGTACTCATTTCTACCATAAGATCTTCTCGCACAGAGCTGGGCAACCTCCACGTGCTTTGGTGCTATTTCCCAAAAACAGAGCCTGCTTATTGAATATAAACAGGAAATGACAATAAACTCCCAAAATGGACCAATTATGTAAAGTCTCCCTCAGTTCTTCAGCGTCCAAATTCATCCAGTTAGTATTAAAAAAAAAAAAATTGGTGCACGGTTCACTAGTCCCCTCCCGGCTCCCCCTTTTGAAACCGTCCTTCCTTGAGTATCAAAAATGACCTATGTAGACCAAAACTTGTTGCCTCTTCGGAAATTTGCTTTTTTATTTGCCCCTGTATACCGCTTCTGTCTAAGCAGCGACGCATCTACATGAACAGAGCTTCACACGGAACCAGTTGAATACCAAACCATGTCAAAGATAATTTCTCCAGTCACAAAGATGATGTTATCAGTTCCCCCGAGAAAATTAGTTTACAGCTTCAAAGAAAAGAACCTGAGGTTGTAGATGCCCTCTTTCACACATTGTAAGAACATCAAGCCACCCACCAATTACCTGTAGAATGATGAAAAAATTTAAACACAAGAAGGGTAAAACTCAAGAAATGAATCGATTCCGTCAGAGATTTAACTCACCTTGACTGTCTTGTCATCATACATAATCCATTGTTCATGTTCATGGCTATAAGCAAAGCAATGATAATGTTGCCCATAGTAGCATACCTAAAAATTTGTAACAACACCTCGGCAAATAAATTATTCAGAATACTTGGATTGCATGGGACGATTGATACTGTTATTCATTCAAAACATCCACAATACTGAGTAAAAAGGTGGGCATACGTGGGAGACTCACTTCACCACAAAATTGGAAAAATGGTACACCCAATCTAGTATAGAAAATCGGAAAGACAGAATGAAAGCTATTCCTTCTTCCCATCCTCTTTATTAAAACATAGGTATGACATAATACTAGTTTTACAAATTATCTAGTAGATAAATAAGGATTCACTGTTTGGTATAGTTCTGCCAGGAACTTGCATTAAAAAAGTAACCAGCACAAAAATTAGTGATATGTGAAGTATTTTAGAGAGAGAGAGAGAGAGAGAGAGAATTTCCAGTGGCTAAAATCACTTGCAGATCAGTGTTCTCCTACTCCCATAACATACGCTAGAGGTCCAGATCTTGATTAAACTGAAAATTGTAAATAATGCCCTTTTTACTAACATTTTTACCAAAAATTTATTATAAAAATGTTTATATTGCATGTCTCTTTCCAAAAGAAAGCTAAAACTTTCTATCTTATTACAAAAAAAAAATATATATATATATATAAACATCTCAGTATTATGATAACTGGGGTGCTCAACATTGAATCTTAACAAACAAACAAGCAAACAAAAAAATTACCACTGAAACCAAGCTATGAATGCTTTTTGGATCTAATCCACGATAAAGAACACTAATGTCCATGTCAGTGCTCAGTGTTGCCAAAGTTGCTTTAATATCATCAGCACTCTCACATGTCTTTTGCCAACCTAGAACTGTACATACCCAACATCAATAAGGTAAAAGGCCCAAGAAGGCACAGCAAAGGGGGAAAAAACAACATTCCCAAAAAAAAAAAATCCAAGCTACCAGTCGTGAAAACATAAGGTGGTTTTGAAAGAAAGTGATGGATGTAATTTAGCTTGCCACAGCCGCCAGCTTCCGGATCACAAGCTAACTGATGATTCATCTCCACTAGATTCAAGATATCATCAAAGGAGCTTTCGCTACACATGAGCTGCAGAGTATGGAAGGGGATTCAGGTAAGGTCTTAACAAGCATAATTGTCAACCCATGTTTCCACCAGCAGGAAAGAGAGGGGGAATCTTCATAAAGTAATTGAAGGTCTAAAGATACCTTCATGGTCCGAAGGGAGTTGGCATTTATATTGTGGAAGAAGGAAGTGTACTTCATATGCCTGGACTCGAGACCACAATGTTGGCAGTTCATTCGTTCAAAAATGTCCATTCCAAAGAGTGAATGTGCTATGCAACTACTGTTTGCACAATCCCAAGACCTCATGGAATTGCTTTCCACTGATTCTGTCTCAGAAACACTTGAATCATGAGTAAATGATCGATGAAGGCAGTCAAATATCACTGCCAGGACTTCAGAAGCATCATTCATCTGAGCCTGTGAAAAGTCAGCACTCAGCATATAAATCAAATTGCCCGCACAAGAAATACATTATGTCTTAACATGCTTAAATACTAGGAATTTTTAAGGCAAGAAATACAATCATATATTGGTGGTGGCACCTCCTGGAAGAAGTTACTATCTGGACATAGGTTGCTTAGAGCTATTCTCAGAGAAGTAGGGGCTACAGCTTCTCCCCTAAAATCCTTTGATGCAATTTCCATGGCAGTGAAGATTTCATACAAGGCACAGACAACACAAGGATTACCCACATGATCATGCTCTGATCTTGGTCTTCTAAGAAATTCCTTGCGAAAAAGTCGCAAATGCCACAAAGACTGAGCTCATACAGAGAAGGGAAGTTTTAGACCATAAAACATATCACATTGATTAAATAAGGTATATCACAAATTGAAAACTGAAGACCTACTTGTATTATAACATTGAGAAAGCAATTATATTCACCCACTTCATTCTTCAGCCCAGTACCAAGCAAAGTACCTCCATTGACATTCTCAGTAGTGTTTTCCTCCAGTGGAGCACCAAAATTATTGACTTGCAAAGCAGCTTTATCTGGCATTCCCAATCTAGAAACTGGAGGCAAATTTTGAAGAGCTTGATATGTGTCTGAATAAGCAGTACCTCAAACAAGGTCAGAGAGTCATCAAATTTTCCATAATAATTCAAAGAGATGACGCCATAAAAGTTTCATCAAGCAGGTTACCTGATATAATGCAAACAGGCTTGCCCCATCATAAAAAGCTCAACAATATTCTAGACTAGGTTCATCCATATCCCAATAAGAAATTATGGCAATGTTGATGTCTCTTAGTAGAGAACAGAACAAATTAAAGGATATACAATGGCACTCAGTTCCTAGAAAGTGGTCTTCAACTCTTATTTTCAATGACAGGCAATTGAAATCCCATAACGCTTAGCCCTTAACCCCTACCACAAGCAATGGGTCCCACAAGCATTTTGAGGACAGTATCAGTGAAAGCAAACGATATTTTATCCTATGTAACAAATGCAGCTAGTTTTATCAACAAGAGATAAAATATAAAAATCTAGTTATCAAATCACGGAGAAAGTTGGACTTGGAGTTCCAATGCAAACAACTGTTGAGCTTCACCCTAGATGTACAACTAAGAATTATAGCTGCATATACTAGACACGTTAAACATATTCAAACATATAATGCCTCAATTACTTAAGTCAGACCAAAGATTAGTAGAATATAAGTGAAGCTGCTATTCATGCTATAGTAAATGTGTAGTGCTTGTAACTTCGTGATGGTAAATTAGATTCTGTTCTTCTTATGCATGCCAACTCAATTCCTAAGTTTTACAAGTCAAAAAACAATCTTATTCTATGCAACATGTATAGAGCTACTATAACAAATATGTATGAAATAGCAGCAGCAGCAGGTCATATACAAAAAATCATACCCAGACTTTGGCGCACAGCTTTTTTTAGGTCAGCTTGGAACCTTTCCTCCTCATCATGCTCCACTTGTAACTCTTTCAGAGTCATTAAGCCATTGTCTCCTTGCACTGATGGCAGAGCATTAACTCTTAGTTTTCATATGGTAGATTATACCTTCAATAGATGCCTTCTTTGGCATACTGACATAGTTTCAAACCAAGAGAACAGCAGGAGTAATGCTAATAAATATAATGGCAATCAAATCTGATTCTGGATCTAATTTAACAGCACAAATGATACAGGGACACATTCACATCAAGAATTAGAAAGGTAAGATTAAAGATCAAGTTGTTTCAATGTTTTTATATAATTGTGGGCTATTAACTTATTATAATATGTCAAAGATCCAATTTACTCACAATTATTTAAGGGTAAGAGGATTAGAAGGATGTTTTCTCAAGTTAATTCTATGCTTCAGTCCAAGAGGTATTTGAGGTCGTCTGCATTTCCAAGTCTTGGCTTGTATTAAGGGCCTGAGTTCATGTCATATGAGACTGATGCAGGAAAGGAAGGGAAATAAGCATCCCGTATCAAAATAATAGCCTAATGATAAAACAAAGATTCAAGAAGTTGCAAAAAGCAATTGGACATCAATTTGTTACATTAGAAACTCATAACATTATTACGAACGTTGAGGATGCAAATAGAACCTTAGCCTTCCTTCTTTAAGCCGAAATGGATCACTAAAGAGTAAAGAGGCCAAGCAAGTTGGAGTGCTTGAGTAGTGATTGGAATGCTACTTTGGACGGCCAAAGGGGCTTAGACAGTTAGATCCAATACTTGCTCCCAAAGTTAGAACCATACTTGCTCTCCAAGTCAGATTATCTAGGTTTCCATTTTCTTGCCATCTCATTTAGTTTCCTACTATCTAGACTAGTTTCCTGTTTTCTAGCTATTTTATTTTAGGAAAATTTTGATTTTGTATTCTGCTAGAGTCATAAGTAGTTTCCTAGCAAATTTATTTTGGAAAGAATATTCATAGGATTATTAGGCAACTTTTGGCTATAAATACCACTGCAATTATTTTTCAGATTGGAATTGTTAGCAGAGTGTTTTCTCTACATTGTGCGAGAACTATGTCATTTTTTTGGCTCTTGTAACCTTATCTCATTAATTTGTTCTTAGATTGGTGATCCAAGTTCACAACGCTGTCAATTCATGATTTGACCTAGGTACGTCACTGTGTGCATTGGTCAAGTGTTTGTGGTTCAACAAGTTGTTCAAGCAGCAGCTTGTGTTCCCTATGACTTCATTGGCTACTATCTTCCATTAGGTCACAAACCATCATCTCCATTATCATTAGAATAGAATACAAATATCTTTCAAGTTACAAGAGGCCTATCTAAATATCATAATACTTTATTTTGGACAAGCCCCAACTAGTGGGATAAGGCTTGTTATATTTTGGACAGAATGATCAGGTTACACTATTGTGCTAGCAAACTGCCCTCTTCTTTGGTTGGGGGATGCTATCAAACCTTCATTTATTTATTTATTTATTTACTTATTTTATTCAAAGGCTATAGTTCAAATACCATACACATCAATGCATATAAGGTCCAGCATAAGCTCATTGAACACATCTCTAGAATGAGTGACCAACAGCCTAACAGGGCTTCCTATGACAGGACAAGATCAGTAAGCCACACAAGGAAACCATTCTATGCATGTATTTGATTCTCTGAAGTTGTGATCCAGGGTCAACTTCCAGTCTTGCATCAGATGCCATCAAACCTTAAACAAGATGCCCAGGGGGCCATAGGTATGAAGCCTGGTATCTTCCTTCATCATAACGTCTACTCTGTTTTCATCAGTTTTCTGGACAGGCCCACCTGACTCCTTTGGCAAACACCACTAATAATCAAATCCCATAGAATACTCAATCAGTTCTAGCTTGTTAATAGCTCCTAAACAGCCACTAAACATCCCTTAAAACCACACCCTGTTGCACGCAGAATGCTGTTTTCTTGAGATACCACCAATCAACACTAAATCCACAATTTTTCTCCAACAACCCCCATTTTAAATCTTGAATGCCAGTTTACTAAGCCCCATAGACCCTCCCTGTCGTACATTAAAGGGAGTATATTTTGAATAAATATTTTTATTGAACGCTGTCAAGCAACTATGCATCCTTGAGCATTTTCTTGAGCCACTAGCATATAGACCATAAACAAGCAACCAAAAAAGTAATAGATAACTAACAGTTAAATGCTTTTCTTACAGTATGAGCACATACATCAACTGCAGCCAAACCCAAGATAAAAGGTAACATAACCAATATACCACGGAAATAAACCTTGGAAAAGAGTAAACTAACCGTTGTTAGCATCCTGATTGTTGTGGAATTTAACCTGCTCTCTTGACTGATTGTCGGTATATGCATCAGTGTTCTCTTTATCCAATGAGACAGCCTCAAACTTTCCAACAACCAATCTGGAAGAATTTTTATGCCGTTTACCCTTTTTACCTGTCCGCTGCTCAGCCAGCTGAAAATCATTTTCAGGAGCTATTTTGCAAGACAGATCTGCTGGAGAAAGAAGCACGTGATGAGGAACTTGGACAAGAAAAGCAAATACTGCAATTTAAAAGATCTTAGAAAAAGAGTGCCAACCTTGTTTGATATTTGTTGGATGCTTATGATGAATAGTTTGATTAACTGAATCGAGTAAAGATATGTCTGGTACCGCAGAACCATTTGATGTGGCAATATGCACACCATCTGAATTGCTAGGGTAACCATTAATATTTGGCAACTGCTCCTGAGAAAAAGTAAAAGTTCACAGGCATACTTCTTACTTCCTGTAATACCTAATTCTCATCTAAAAATTTCCCTAAGTTGGACATTTGCGTTCCAATTCTCAAATGCAACAGTAACTTAATGGCTGGCCACCAGAAATTCCATCCCCTACCATGTATAGGAGAAACTTACCAGCATAGGCGGTCTCATATGTTCATGAACTTCTGGACCATCAGCAACAGCCCTTAACTGACAATCCAGAAATTTGTCAGCTGACTTCTCCAAATACGTCACAGAAGATTTCTTTTGCTGCTCAGCGAGGTGCTTCAGTTTAGCCTCATTTTCTATTCGTCGTTGTAACTCCAAAGTTTCTTCAAGTTTTTTTTCCTCTTCTTCTAACTCAATTTTACGTCTCACTTCCTCTTCCAGTTGTTCCAAGTCAGCACTAATTGTAGAAACAAGAATGGAATCATGGTCATTATCAGGCGCAGCAGAATAAGAACTGCAGCAGAAGCACATCAAAGGCATTTATAAAAGTTGCCATGTCTCCGAAAGATAGCAAAGATGATCTCAGGTAGATAAATATGGGAAAATGTACTAACTCGGGAGTAGCAGTGTCCAGAATGAGCTGCTCATGACCATATGTAGCCTGCAAGACAGACAATAGATGGTTGTCATGGACAGTGACCCAGTATGTGGACAAATTTCAGCATTCATGATCCTACCTTCAAATCCCTTGTTTTCCTGTTCTCTTTATTTTTTTTCTTATCTTTCGTTTTCTCCATATGTTTTGCACCATCACTTCCCCCCTTGACACCCTTCTTTGAATCAAGAGCAAGCTCGGCCAAAAATGCTTCCCTTGCAGCATCAGACTTCTCCGTCGCATCCTTCTCAGCCAAATCTTCCAAACGTGCCTTAAAAGAGTATAACAACAATAAAGATAGAAAAATGACGTGAAGCAACAGTAAATGTTTCAAAAGTTAAGATACAAACCCTTAGGTATGACTTCACTAGAGGCAGTAATATTGCACGATAATCAAAAGCAGAAACAGGCTCAAGCTTGAGCTCCAACTGCTGCATCTCTGTAACATTTCTCATGATCCGTCCATCAATTTTGCTAAGCTGCATAACAAAATAAGTCAGAACATCAAGGAGGTCATTTCTTCTGTTAACCAAGTAAAAACGTAGTGAAGTCAACAAACTGACCTCCACAGATAGGTTTTCCTTCAGTTTCTGAATGGCTATTTCTATGTAGCTATCCATTTGTTTTGTTCTCCATTCATCATCTTCACCTGATTCCACGTCACATCCACCAGTATAATTTTCCCCATAACCAAATTGATTAACATTCATTGCCTCTGCTTCTTGCAGTACATTTGTTATAGCATCCAACTCAAATCTATTGCTAACATACATGACATCATTCTCACTCTCAATGAGCTCTTCTCTCCGGTTTCTGAGAACAGATCCATAGTTTTGCTGAACAAATTCAGTGAAATTTTCCCTCTTCTTACCTTCTTCTAGACAAAGGTCCTCTACTACCTGCAGTGCTTCCTCATAATTCAAGCGCTCACATTTCTTCTCAGAGAGGCTCTGTAGGTGATAAAACTCCTTCTCAAGAGTCTGGAGAAGTTCCATTCCTTGATTTCTTTTATCTTCTTTTGTTCTCATCCATGAGGTCAATTGATCTCCACAAGATGAACCTGAAAATATCCAAGATAGGAAAGGACCGGTGTTATGTAAAACTACGTCATTAGAAGTTGGGGTAATTACATCATCCAATGCAGCACTCTTAGTAGCACCTGGAGTGATTTCTGCAGGCACTAAACATTCATCTAGAAGAAGGCATGATGCATCTCCATTGAGAACAATCTTCTCTTTAATCTCAGGAATTTGATTTGAATTGTGTAAATCATCCATGGGACTAGTACTTTTATCAGCATATCTACCCAAACCACAAGTATGTGATAGTTCCTGCAAAAATTTGAGAATTTTCTTAAGTTGATGGGCTCCTAAAAAGCATATGCACGTTGGTGACTGGTCTAAACCATGGTTTAGAAGCTGAGACCCAGCAGCAAGTCCATGAATCTCATCCATGGCAAATTGTATGACCTTGCTAAGATGACTAGCAGCAAGACATTTGTGTCTAATAAGCATATCAAAAACTGCACGAATTTTCTCAAGAAGTTTTGCACGCTCAGAGTCATCTGACAATGGCCAACCATCTGCAAGGGAATATACTACAGACCGTTCAACTTCAACACCTTCTGTAATATTAGTTTCCTCAGATTTACAATGATTACTTATATTTGGTGCACAGGTAGCAAGGCTATGTCCCCTTTCAGGTAAAGAATTATTAGCGTCTTTAAAGCAATAATGGTGCTCCTCAGTATGATCAATATAGGTATCCTCAGGAAACGAAAAATCTTTGCATTTTGCTTGATTTTCAAGCATTTTGACTGCAGCAGAGGCATCCAGAGCTTTCCAAGAACAGCTAAGAATCATCTCAATCCATTCATTGTCTACATTTTGAGGTAAAAGTCTCTGCATTTTAGGTAAGAGATTCCCCAGGTGTTCCTGCACAACATGCTGCATGTGAGATTCTGAATCTGAAAACTTCTCACTACAGCGGCAGCAAAGCCAGAATTTCCACGTTTTGTTAGCCTCAGCATACGACAAAGCTTCTGCTACTATGTCATTCAGCAAAGTATCCTTTGAAGAGCCAAAGTGAGATTTGAGATCACATATCCTAATCCTAAGAAACTCCTTCTTCAAATCAATACTCATCGAATTCCAATATAAACGTACCCAATCTCTCCTTTCAGATGTAGAGCCAGCTTTTCGGACATGTCCATACTTCCGCCTCTCACTTATCCTCTGCCCAGACCCTGAAGATGAATCCAATGTCCTGTCATCCCTGTCCCCTTCGTTCTGGGATTGGGGTGACTCTGACTTTTGCTGCAGCAGCCTTGCAGCAGCCACTCGAACTTCAATTTCTTTTCTTCTCTCCTCAGGTGTCTTGGTCACCTTTTTTATCTCATTTGGCCTTCTAGCTTGAACTAACCTCACCTCCATTGGGTCCTCTGTAGCCCTCCTTATCGGAATCAAACGGAATTTCTCCTCCCCATTACCAAGATTCTTCATCCACGTTGACAAGGAAGCTATGTTTGACTTCTGAATTAGCTGCCGCAACTCATTCTGAACATGTACTATCCGGGCGTCTGCAGTTGATATTTTCTGCTGGCTCTCGTCCTGCAAGCTCTCCTTCGCAGGATCAATTGGATTTGAAATCCCGAGTGCTTTTTCACACTCCTTCACCACCTGCTCGTATTCAGTCGAATCATTCGCTGCCTCGTATAACAAATTTGCATAAAAATGTGCGAACTCAATAGAACTGGGCGATTGCTCCGCGGCTTTTCGGGCAGACTCAATAGCATGCTTCAAATGTCTTTGCTTCGCACTTGGATCATCAATAATTGAGGCCACTTTGACACAGATGGTACCTTGAACTCGGTGAATCAAGGCCGAGTAAGCGGAGCTCTCGTGTCTGGAGCATAACTCCTTCATAAGCCTCAGTGCCTTTGTGTGGTTGCCACGCCTGAGCGCATTGAGGGCTCGTTCACATTCAAGCTTGATAGTGGAGTAGGCCGACGGCTCGGGGTGAGGAGGCAGCTCGATCTTACTCGCGCTTTGAATAGTGTGATTAGAACTCCTGCACAACTCGGACTCGGCTGAGGCAGGGCCATTGGCGGCTCCGCCGATGGCAGATTGTGTCACCGGAGAAGCCGCCGCCGATTGTTTGGAACGCGGGGCAGGGTTTCGCTTTTTATGTCCCATCAATTGAGTTCATGTATAAATCCAATTTACACACATGAATACGTACAAAACCTGCGCGTGTAGGTCTCTCAAGAAATAAAAACCATGAAGAAAAAGAATATGATCGAAAGGGCATGAAAGAAGACAGAGATTTCAGACCAAGAAAGTAAATGGAAGAAGACGCTTACTGGGGACTGTAGAAAGAGGCCTCAGAGGCAGGAGATTGATTGGAATCGAATGCGAAAGAAGAATTGAAGGGAAGAGAAAGTGCCTACCGGTGCCGGCGACGAGGAGTGATCGGCGGCAAAATCCAAGACGGTAGTGGCAACTGGAAACTCTGGCTAACTTGTCTGGGCACTGCACACACACACCTACCCACACCGGACGGGAGGGGCTGAGATTTGATGGACAGAGAATTTTGATGGGGAAATTAACTATTTATACAGAGTCTAATAATTATTAATTAAGGCCTGAATGTTATAATGAACTGTTTTTATTTCACGTCATGTCATTTTTTTAGGGGAAAATGACAATTGGAAATCTCTAATGTCAATTTTAAATTATTAAAATATCAATTGTAAACTATAATCTTTACTTAAAATTTAAAATGTATATGAATTTATAAATATATTCTCAATTTAAAAAATAAATAAATAAATAATATTATTTAAATTATTATTATAAGATGAAAATATTATTAATATCAACTAAAAAATTAAAAATAATAATTAAAAATAAATTTTTTTAAATATAAAATTAAAATTTACTTTTAAATTTTTTCAATGGCACTTCTAAATATACAATATTCACTTAAAAATTTATTAAAATTATTTATAAATATTAATTTAATTACTTGTAAAGTTTTATCCTTATTAGGATATAGGGAGACCACTTAAAAAATTAAAAAAAAAAAGATATTGGGAATATTATTAATATCTGTTGGTAAACTAATGAACAATAATTAAAAATAAATTGTTTCCCCAATACAAAACTAAAATATTACTTTTAAAACTTTTTAATAGCACTTGAAATATATAATAATCATTTAAAAATTTATTAAAGTCACTTTTTAGGATCATTTTAAACTATTTGTATTTTTAAATTATAAGTAAGGATCATGAGGTATTTCAATAATTTATATTTAGATTTAATAATTATAATCAGCAACCTTAGGGTCTCAAATTGCCATCTTTCCTTTCTTTGATGCATATATTATATATATTTGCAAAAAATAACTTAGGACTCATTTGAATTTCAATTAAGTATAATTTATTATAAAAATTATTGATTAATATGAATAATTTTAATTATAATTAATTATATTATAATGTAATCTGTTTGGATATTATTTTTTAAAATTAATTTTAAAATAATTAAAAATATTTGAATAATTTAGTAAAAATCGATTTTAATTATATAAATTACTAGAAAGGATATTGCTTTTCAAAATTAAATTATTAATATATTTGTATATAATATTATTAAATTTGTTAAATTTTATTTAAGAAAAAATATATTATTTAAATTATATATCTAATTAATTATAAAAATTTAAATTATATTAATATAAACAATTTAATTTACATAATTATTAAATATCAACATCAATTTTATAATAATTAATAAAGATGATAATGTATAAATAAATCTCTAATAACATCATGAATATGAGTCATATTTGACGAAGATGTTAAGAATTGTCTTAAAATTTTGATAATATAAAAAATGTAATAATATAATAAATGATGCATCTCTTTCTCTCTCTGTACATTTGCAATGACCTTAAATTTTAAGTTAAATTAAATTAATTTTTCTATCAATTAATATTTTATTTAAATTATTTTTAATAATTAGTGCTAAGTAAAGAGTAATGGTTGACAAAAACTTATATTAACAATTTTTATTAGACTTCAAAATTTAAATTTTATTAAAAAAATAGAGAGAGGAGAGGAGAGGAGAGAATTTAATTTTATTTTTATTAAATTTAGTATCTTTTTTTTTGTCTTTCTTTATAATTTTTTTCAATATTTTTCATCAGCTTTTTCACAGAGTCTCACAAGTACAGCTTAGGACAAAAATCGATTCTTCGCCAACAATCGATTAACTGAAAAAATTGATGTTTGGTTTTTTTTCATTAATCGATTTATCAATTATTTTTCTCAATCCAAACAGGCACTTAAATGTTTTAGTTGTTGCTTGTTATTATTTGTTTCTGGGTGATTGTCAATATTCTCTGTGTTTAATACAAAAATCAATGTGTGGGTTAAAAGTTAAAACTCATCATTTTACAATATGTAACGCACGGAAGCTATTATATTATATTTAAAAAAAATGTTCTAGCGTCATTATATGTTTTGTTAATCATCGTGAGTTTGTGACTTTTTAATTAAATAGAAATATTAAAATTATTTTTTCATGGAATTAAAAGATTTCAATCATAACTTACACTCATCTAATTTTTATTCCCCTAAATAAGAATGTTAAAGATATTTAACAAAATTACATACCCATGAGTTAAAGTCAATGTCACTAGTTAAGTTAGTGTATCGGATAAATTACATTGTTGCCAAAACAAATATTATTTAATCACATAATTTATATTATAAACAATAATTTGAAAATAAAAGATAAAATAGGGAACTAAAATAAATTTGATTATTTTTAGCAATAATACTTTCAACGCAATGCCAAGCACAAGTTTAGTTAACAATGATATAACAATTATTTTAAAAATAACATTTTAAACATAACAATCCACTTAATTAAATACCAGGAATGAAATGGAACAGAATAAAAATATAATATAAATTAAAATAATGAAAAACTAAATAAGCCCTAAATACTTTTTATATGGAATTATATGCTCGTTAAATATTAAAAACCAATACCAATATTGTGGGAAGAGAACTAAAAATTTAAAGTAATTTATTTATTGGACCGTGGTTAATGGCTCAATATTGGATTCTAATTTCCAGCGATGCTACTTTCAACGCAATGCCAAACACAAGCTTAGCTGACATTGACAATGATATAACACTAATTTGTAAAAATGACTTTTTAGAAACCAACCATCCACTTGACCAAATACAAGAAATGCGATGGAATGAAAACAGAGTATAAATTAAATGAATGGATAGGTAAAGAAGTCCTTACATTTTTGTATGAAACTACATGTTTGTTAAATATTGAAAACAAATATTGTGTTAAGAGAAAAAAAATTTAAACTAATTTTTTTATTAGACCGAGGTTAACGGTTCAAGTTTGGATTCTAATAAGGTAAATTGACTTTCATGCTGTAAAAAAAAAATTATTAAAGATTAAATAATCAATTAAAGTCCTTAAAATTTAAACTATATCAAACCTCTCGAGGTTTAGTACTAATACATTTGTTTGGTATAAATAATTTATCAAATAAGTAAAAGATTATTGTCAAAAAAATCAAACTTCACATTGTTTTTAAAGGAGAATAATAGTTAAGTGTTAAGATAACCAATCAATTTAAGTCAAGTTCAAATCAATTTTAAAGTGCCAACAAAGTCTTATGATCTTTTAATGGTAGTAAGTCTAACATTATCGAAAATCTGCAAGTTCAACTCCTAATTTTACAAATTTATTATAATGCATTTGCAATTTATTTTTTAAATTATTTTTTCAAATTTTAAAAAGATTAAAAAATAAACAACAAGTAATTAAAAAATGAATGACCTATCAATAAGGGCAAACATGCCGTGTGAACTGCAAAATTAAATATTAAATTTTTATAAATAAGTAATTCTAATATTTTATTTCCAATAGATAACATAAATAATAAACAATAGGATTAATATTTTTTAACATTAAATATGAATATTTGTATTATCTATTAAATTTTAAAACATAAATTATAAATTTATCATAATGAAATTGCAAAATTAAAAACCCAACTTGTAAATCCTTGGAACCATAAGACTTAATATGTTTTAATATTAAAGACGAATATTTAACTCCGCCTATGTTTATAGCCGGTCCTAAGCCCGAATAAAGGAGGAGGGTTGTGTTAGGCCATCAACAGCCAATGTAAAAATTTGTTGAATCTATCATGAACATGGACAATAGACGTTATAATGTTAATGCTAGGTCGTTGCCCGTAAGTAACGCGCTGCATGGCTCGAGTACAGTGATAAGTGAGTTAGAGCCGCTGCATCGGCGCCCAGATGTAGTGTTAAATGAGCAAGGGCTACCGCGTCATTCTGGACGCACGCGGCTAAAGAAGTTAGTCCATAAGAGTAAAATTAGATTTGGTACTTGAAATGTTGGGATATTAAATTGTAAATCTGTAGAGGTTGTAGGGGTTATGATTCAAAGGAAAATCAATATCCTTTGCTTGCAAGAAACAAAATGGCGTGGAGAAGAAGCTAAGGATATTCAAGGTTTCAAACTTTGGTATACAGGAAAAGTAAGTGCACGCAATGGAGTAGGCATCATTATAGATAAGGAGTGGAAGAAAACATTGTAGAAGTTAGCAGAATTGAAGACAGAATTATTTTTTTAAAAATGATAATTGGACGTGAGACTGTTAATATTGTTAGCGCTTATGCGCCGCAAGTCGGGACAGAAGCCAGTCTTAAGGAATTATTTTGGGAGGATCTGGAGGGGTTGATTCGACACATACTACAGAGTGAAAAGATTTTTATTGGAGGAGACTTTAATGGGCATGTCGGGAGGGAAGCTGGTCAGTATGCGAGGGTGCATGGTGGTTTTGCTTTTGGAGAGTTAAACAATGAAGGGCAAACTCTTCTTGATTTCTCATTGGCGTATGATTTTAAGATTGCCAACACTTGTTTCAAGAAGAGAGATGAGCATCTCATCACCTACAAAAGTGGAGCCTCAAGGTCGCAGATTGATTTTCTTTTGGTTAGGAACACAGATAGAAAACTTTGTAAAAATTGTAAGGTGATCCCTGGAGATGCTGTAACGACACAACATAGGGTCCTAGTCCTTGATGTGTGTATTATGAGTAAAATCCAAAAACGTCGACAAGTAGTAACACCAAGGACTAGGTGGTGGCAATTAAAAGGTGAGAAGCAAGATATTTTCAAGCGAAATCTTTTGGATAAAGGAATTTGGGATTCTCAGGGAAGTGCTAACATCATATGGGAGGATATGGCTAAAAAGATACGGGAGGTTGCAAAAGTAGTTTTGGGAGAATCGAAAGGTTCTGGTTCGAGAGATAAGGAGTCTTGGTGGTGGAATAATAGTGTACAGGACAAAATCAAGTATAAGAAGAACTGTTTTAAAGCCATACATTTGTGTAACAATGAGGAAAATTGGGAGAGGTACCGTATGGCTAAGAAGGAAACTAAGAGAGCTGTGGGTGAAGCTCGTTCTAAAGCTTTTGAAGAATT